GGTATAAATACGTACCAGCAGACAGATAATTAGCCAAATATCGTTTTGACAAGCGCGTAATGATACACGGACTAGTTTGCGAACGCAAAAAATGTGTTCGTGGGTCAGTGTTGTGTTTTTCCTAGCAAGGTAAACAAGCTCATCGACTTTGAATTTGAAAGGCGGCCATGCGTTATATTTTCGTCATTTAGCGGTGACTATAAGGCCGGTGCATCTTAAACTATACGCTATCCCCTTCTATTTTTCCCGCTCTATAAGATGGCGGTGTCCATTTCCCTCTATCTACGCGTGTTGGTGTCTTTAACTTATGCCGACACTGCTGCACAAAGCACAAGACACTGAACCACCAAAAGTGAACTGGCTGGGGATAAAAGGGTGGTAGAGGTTACGGAGACGGATGCGCGTAGATAGAGAGAAATGGACACCACCATGTTATAGAGCGGAAAAAATAGAGTGGGATGGAACATAGTATAAGTTGCGCCGGACTTATATTTACCGTTAAATGGAAAAAAAAAAAAACGGCGGCGCTATGCGCCGCACAGAGACAAAGTTGAAATTGGCCTTCTGCGGCAGAGTCGTTCATTTATGTCTGCATTCTCTATAAACTCGTTTTCTATACGTGTCTAGTTTTCTGCATTTCCATTTTCTATACCCGCGTTTTCTCTAAATGTCACGTTTCCTTTGCACTACGTTCAACCAACGTGGAAGCATTACCGATTACTAATGTTTAAATCCATTATTAATCCTATTTCTACAAACACTTCGTCTCTTTCTTTTTGCTTATACATTTAAGTATTGTTCTTTGTAATGTATACATTTTATGATTTATAATTTCGTTATCATAACGTAGATTCAGATATTTGTTTCAATGTTTGTTTTATATTTATAGGTGTTTTAAAGACAATTGAAAAAATAGTGTACCTTTTATCATAGTTGATAAATAGTGTTATTCAAACATATTTTTTACGGTAGGTACTGACAATTCATGGAGGAATATGCCGGTCGCATGCCCTCATATCGGTAGCCCTTAAATGCCCCAAATGCAACGACATATTCATGTAGATGCGACAAACCCCCCAAAATGATAATAGAAAAGTTAGATGCAATTTCACTTCGCCTGGTACTTTGCCAAGCACATATTAAAAATTATGTATTCTATATTGTTTAATAATTTTAAAAATAAATTGACATTGTGCGAATAAGCGATGGGGTGGTAATTATTTTGATATTTTGTGTTCGTTATTTTGGTTAGCATGATAACATTTTATATTTGTGAAAAATTTGTGTATCGGATATCGGGTTTCTACACATTGCGAGTTGCGCTTGTTTACTCGAGCGGTGTTTCATTCAGTGTCCGTCGGACAAAGTTTGGCTCTTTTTTGTATTATACGGCCTTTCTATTGTTGCCATGACATAAATTTAGGGTCGTCTTTCATATAATTACAATTTTTATAGATGTTTGTGGTATTTGTTTTATATAGAAATTTACAGACTGCTACTGACATCGGAAAAACAGCAAAACATAAAACAAACACCAAAAGTAAAAAAAGGCTCACCAACGACTACTTAAAAGCATGCATGACAAAAATAATGGTGGACGTCTCAACATCAGAAAGTGATTAATCAAAAGCGTTAACTCATTCACTGGAACATCTCACTGCAAAAGCCACCAAAACCTCTGTTGTAGTGTGATCTGTCTAACCCAGGGGTCCCGTCCCAGTTCATCAAGTCACTCTTTTTGAATTCTGCCCTCCCTTGATGCTGGCGGGGGATACAGGCGCAAATAGACCTGGTTAACCCCTGTCAATTCAATCCCCTTAAGTGGTAGCGTGGGGGGAGACAATCATTAATAGGGGTGTTCCAGTGTGAATACCACTTTCTGACGTTCAGCATAACCATTTGGTAAAATACATACTAAAAAGTAATCTAAGAGAAATACAAAAGTAAAAGAATGTGCTAAAGGCACCTAAAATTACTGACAGTCGTATGCAAAAACTAAAAGAAGACTTCCAGAGTGGACAGCCTGGCTGAAGGCCTTACCACAAAACAAAAACAAAACCAGCAAGTCTGGCGTCAGAGCTGAAGGCTTAAAACCCCTTAAGCCTAAAAGAAAAAAAATACGACAGTATAAAACCCGAAACAGGAAAACTGAAACTAAAAGATCACTCAGACTCCCTACATTGAAATGTTAAAGTTACAAGTAAAACACAGAGAAACAAACCAGCCAAGTTCATTTAAAAATAAATAAATAAAAGAATGTTCAAATCATTCAATAAAAATGTTCTTAGAATCACGTCCAGCTCCTATGCAAAGAATATCAGGATCTCAGTACTTAACTTATTATCTTCCGTGATCGTCTCTGTGTTCAGTTCAATAAATATGGCGACACTGCCGGTGGTTCAAAGCTTCGGAGGAACACACTCGTTGACGTCTCGACTTGTACTGTTGTTTCTTTTTCCAATGCCCGGTGACGTCAGAGGCCAAACATTTATACAAAATATATTCTCGCGAGAAATAAGATAAAACTGTGCATAAAAATTAACAAAAATAAAACTAAAATTATAAAATAGAAATCATAAAAAGAAAAGTGATAACTAAAAAGAACAAATAAACATCATTCGTTAAAATGCTTCTCCTACAACTTAAAATGAAAACTAAGTAAATACAAGACCTTAAAACTTTACTGAATACTTTAAAAAAAACTAAAATGAATAAAAACTGATGATAAAAGGGTCATAAAAATGTGTCGTCGTTAAGTCATAAATAAAAATGCTCAGAGAAAACACAGAATAAAAAGAGGAAACTAAAATAAAACAATAAAAGTAAATAAAATTGAGAAAAACAAACCAAAACCGAGGTGAGACGTGTGAGACAATCCTCCAACACGGCAGTCAGAGCGGGAGAGCGGAGAGGATGAGATGCAGCATCCAAGACCACCTTACAGAATTCCTCCCCCGCTCTGGGTCGAAGCAAACAATGGAGACCTGGAAGATAAAAGCAAGCCTGAGTCCTGACAAACACAAAGGAGCGGACATAAGTTTGACAGGTGATCATAAAAGAACATTAATATTAAATAAAATCCCATCACCATAAAACAAAAATCAGGAGCATCTGGTAACATCTGGTTGCATCTGGACGGTCTCAACTCTCCTAGGACACGACGTGGTGCAGTGGAACCAACAGATGAACAGCAATCTCTACTGCAGTGTGGCACACAGCCAAGGGTGCACTGACAGTAGAGTCCCTACAGCAGGTTAACAGCAGCACTTGAACCAGTGTGGCACACAGCCAAGAGCGCACTGGAACCAAGCTCCCTAGTTGGTTGAGCTAACGGCAATCCTTGGTCGGCATGGCACAAAGCCTGATCGTACCAATCCAAGGTCCCTACAGCACACAGCAAACAGCAATCCTTGATTGGCATGGCACAAAGCCTGGTTGTACCAATCCAAGGCCCCTAACATCCAGAATGGCACATAGCCTGGGCATACTGGAACAAGGTCCCTAGTGCATCGAAGTAACAGCAATCCTTGATCCAGCATGGCACATAGCCTGGGCGTACTGGACCAAGGTCCCTAGCACATCAAAGTAACAGCAATCCTTGGTCCAGCATGGCACATAGCCTGGTCGTACTGGACCAAGGTCCCTAGCACATCAAAGTAACAGCAATCCTTGGTCCAGCATGGCACATAGCCTGGTCGTACTGGACCAAGGTCCCTAGTTGTCTTCATTCCCATTGATTGTGGCTGGCTCACAAATTATGAAATCACGCACACAGGTTGAGGATGGCCACCCAAGGATCATCAGGTGCAGAAGGCGCTTCTTTCCTCCTCTCTGGAGCAATATTGTCATCAGGATACGACAACTCTTGTGGGTGATAAGGGCGTAAATGATTAAGGTGAGCCCTCACAACCTTGCCAGAGTTCAGATGTTGCACCTCAAACAACACTGGACCAAATCTTTTAGAGATCCGGGCAGTCTCTAGCCATCTAGGACCCAGGGGGCATCGCACCATCTCCTTGTACCAAACAAGGTTCCATTCTTCTGGAGCAAAGATCCCTTTGGCTTGCTTGTTGTATGCCTCTCATTAGTTTCGTGGGAAGCCCTGGAAGCCATCACAGCTGCCCGGCGAGCTGTCTTGAGTCTTTCTTGGAATGTACTGTTATCACCGAAGACTGCATCATTTGTGAGGCCTACAGGAAAGTATGCTTGTCGACCTGTTAGGAGGTAGAGGGTTGCTCCCCTGTCGTACGATGGATTGCGGAATTAAGGGCGAGTCGCAGTTCAAGTATATACTTGTGCCAGTCCCTAGGTAGATCTCCTACCACCGATCGTAGAGCTGCCTTGACAACACGGTTGGTGCGTTCCACAAGTCCATTGGCCTGGGGGTGATATCGGATGGTGAAGTGGTGAAACTCGTAACATATCCACTAGCTCAGCCAACAGGTTAGAAGTGAACTGTCGGCCATTATCAGTCTGGATAACACAAGGTGGACCAAAGTATGTTATCCAATGGTCAAGGAAGGCATGATGTACTCTAGAGGCTGTTATATGTTGAAGTGGGATGATCTGGATGAACAGAGAATGTTGGTCTAAGACAGTTAATGCCCATCTCATGGGTGCCTGGCACAGGTCGAGAATGTCCAATGATACACATTCCAATGGATAAAGAGCTACAGGTGCATCGGCCATTGGAACACATTGGGCGACCCCTCTTGATTGCTGACACACAAGGCAATGTTCAACATACTGGCGGACATCACGTAGCATATTGGGCCAGTAAAACATGTTCCGCAGATTCTCATATGTCCGATGTATACCGGGGTGCATTGCTTGAGGTGGAGTATGAGCTGCTTTCAATGTCGAGTCACGCAATCTTTCCGGAACACACAGCTGGTACACAATCTTATCTGGCAGGTGTAACAGGCGGTACAGGACTCTATCCTTCATCTCGAAGTCAGAGAGGGAAACTGGAGGCTTTTTCTTAGGTACAGTGCCATCACTTAGATAGGATGAGATATCTTGAAGTGCAGGATCCTGGCGTTGCTCCAGAGCAAGTTTTGTGATGACAGCTCCCGAACATCTATGGCAGCAATTTGTCGCGACAGCAAATCAGGGACGTAGTTGGTGGGCCCCTCTTTATACCTGATCTCAAAGTCGTAATAGGACAGATCATGGGCGTACCTGGTCATCCGTGGTGATTTTGTCCGATGTTTAAAGATGTATATACAAGAGGACGATGGTCTGTGTAGATCAACAACTTGTGGCCATATAAATACGAATCAAAGACCCTAACGCCCTCTACAACCACTAATGCCTCACAGTCGATGGCTGGATAACAAGTTTCAGGGTTGCACTGTTTCCTACTATAGTACGCAATAGCATGCAGTGCACCGTCGTGATCTCGTTGGATTAAAGCTGCTCCCAAAGTGATACTACTTGCATCTGTGTGTAGCTCAAAGGGTTGCGAGAAGTCTGGAGCTGATGCCAGATGCCTTTTCAATTCTTCAAATGCTTGTTGCTGGTCTTTCTCCCACTTCCAACTCTGGCCTTTCTTCAAGAAGAGGTGAAGTGGAGCTGTGTTGGTTACATATCCTTCTATATGCTTCCTAAAAAAGCCTGTAGCACCCAAAAATCGAAGGACTTCCTTAACAGTTCGCGGTGTAGGTGTTGCTAAAATTGCTACAACTTTATCTTGATGAGGTGATACATCTTTGGGAGATATGGTGAAACCCAGAAAGTTGATTGTGGTTGCAGCAACTTGCCTTTTCTATGTTCAGCTTCAATCCAGCTGCTGCCAGCAGCTGTAGGGTTTCTTCTAGATCTTTCAAGTGCTGCGAGAAGCCCCTGGAGTGCACAACTACATCATCCAAGTATGCTAAGGTGTGGTGTCCAAGAACAGATGACAAGACGAAATTCATTGTCCTCTAGACAGTGGTAGGTGCAGTACTGAGGCCAAAGGGTAGCCTCCGAAACTGAAAATGCCTATAGCCATCGCTAAATGCTGTCTTGGGACGGTCTTCAGGATAAACCTCAACACTCCAATACACTTCCCTTGCATCCAGAGTAGTGAACATATCGGATGGGCCTAATTCATCAATAAGCTCATCAATTCTTGGCAGAGGGAACGTATCCACTGCTGTTACTGCATTCAAGTTCCTGTAATTCACACAGAACATAAGTGACCCGTCTTTCTTCTTCACCAGGACAACAGGGCTCTACCACAGTAAAGTTGAAGATTCAATGACACCATTCTTGAGCATGGCATCACACTGCTTGCATATTGTTTGACAGGTTGCTTGTGGGGAGACGCCACTGGTGGGTACTCTCCTAGGACACGACGTGGTGCAGTGGAACCAACAGATGAACAGCAATCTCTACTGCAGTGTGGCACACAGCCAAGGGTGCACTGACAGTAGAGTCCCTACAGCAGGTTAACAGCAGCACTTGAACCAGTGTGGCACACAGCCAAGAGCGCACTGGAACCAAGCTCCCTAGTTGGTTGAGCTAACGGCATCCTTGGTCGGCATGGCACAAAGCCTGATCGTACCAATCCAAGGTCCCTACAGCACACAGCAAACAGCAATCCTTGATTGGCATGGCACAAAGCCTGGTTGTACCAATCCAAGGCCCCTAACATCCAGAATGGCACATAGCCTGGGCGTACTGGAACAAGGTCCCTAGTGCATCGAAGTAACAGCAATCCTTGATCCAGCATGGCACATAGCCTGGGCGTACTGGGGTCCCTAGGGTCCCTCACATCAATCAAGTAACAGCAATCCTTGGTCCAGCATGGCACATAGCCTGGTCGTACTGGACCAAG